TTTCCTTTTTTTCCACATCATTTATATGCATTTTGCACGGGTTGAGTTGCCAGGCATTTCTCCTAAGCTGATTTCTATGGTTGCAAGTGCACATATACACACTCAGGGACCCCTGAAAGACTTGTGGAAGAAGTCCAGTTTGGACAACTGGCCAAAAGGAGTGTTCAGCGTTTTCTCAAAGGGAGGAAATATTAAAAATCAGGTGTCAAATTATCTTTTAAGGGCTTTGCTGCTTGCTCTGGGGGAGTGGACAGTGCAGGACTGTTCTGATCCTTGGCTGCCTTGCAAAGGGAGGGCTGGGGCACATGTTCCATGCCATGCAGTCCCCATCTCTTCAGTGCTGCAGGGGGCACACCTGGGAAATGGGCATGTGTCTCTGCCTGGTATGGAGGGGACTTTGCCTGGGGCTCCTGTGTGAAACCCTGACCAAGGACCAGCTGATGACACACATGGCCAGAACTGAGCCCAAACCTCTGGCCAGAATGGCTGCACCACCTGCACTGCGCCACCTCTCATGGCTGCCTTACAGCTCCTGGGGATCCCACCCCTTCTGGCACAGAATAACCTTTTTGTGCCCAAATCAAGGAGTGCCACATGTGATGTGTGATTCCCAGGCACTGAGTACCTTGGGAAGGTTGGTTCCCCCTCACCCTTGCCTCCACAGCAGGCCCTGCCCACCCTGGTGGCTGCTCCTGTCCTTCCACAAGAGCTGGATGCCAAGAGCAGCACCTTTCCATGCTTGTGCGCAATTTCCCTTCTCTCTCATCTGAAATGATAATTCCTCTGACCAGGAAAGTAATGACCCTGATACATTATTGCAAATGTCATTTGTGCAAAGTAATTAATCAGCTTAATGTGAGACTGGATTACATTTTAATTTTAATAGTGCTAAATTCTTGCTGTTTTTTAAATAAATTTTCCTGCTCTTTTACATTTCAGCAGGGCAGTATCTCGCTTAGTTAGGCTGTACCTTGCTGTAATCTCTCCACTGTGAAAATATGACAGACAATAACCATTATCAGTGGTTCAGGCATTAGCCTTACACACATTTATTTTAGTTCCATAAGTCTGCATTAGGGATAATAGCTGAGATCTGGCAACTGGGACCTCGGAGCAGTTTTATCTTCCATTGGGAAGTGTGGAGACAATGTTTTCAAAGGCACAAAGCAGGAATTAAATGACGAGTTCTCATTTGTTGTCAGATGGAGATTGAGATACATACCTGCCACTTGCTCTTTTGAAAATGTGCCATTAACTGTGAAGCAATTATTAAACTATCTTCAGTTTGGTTTGCAGTTTTCACAAAAGGTCTTCATAGTTTATAACTCTGATTAACAGCTCCGTTTCTCAAAGAGCTTTGCATACTTCAGAGTACTCACATGCTTCCACTACAGTTCTTCCACCTTTTGAAATGGTTTTTTACTTGAAATCAATTACAAATGAGATGTTTATTCAAATCCTTTGCCCCTGGGTATCAGCTTATAGGTAACGGATTTCCAAACAGAATTAAAATCACATTTTAAAGTTCACACCATGAAATTGACTCTTTTTCACCCTTTCCATCTGTTATTTTATTACTAGGTTTGATTACAGCAATCAGCACAGTGGATTGTACCCACTGCACAAGTTTAGCATCAGCATTGCTTGTATCCTTCTCGATACTTCCTTTTTCAGAAAAATAACGTAAGAGAACCCATATTTTTGCCAATACCTCATCTCTTGGCCCCTGACTGACAATAAGAGCCTTTTTTCCATTCAACATAGTAAGTTTTCTGGGCATAATAAATGGTAATTTACATACAATATGTTACAATTTCACATATGGACACTATTGAACATAGGTGCACATCCCAGTGTCTTCCTTTGTTATACATTATGCTTGCACACACATTATACATATGTGCACATATCTATACAGTTACTTTTTCTCAAAGACATGATTTGGTTAGAAGTAAAATTACAATGGAGCCAACCTAGAATTAGCAGAGGTGACATTTTTTCTCTTTGCATTTGGACCAAGTTGTCCAGAGAAGGCATTTTCATCAGTGACCTCAATTTGCCCAAATCTCCTGTGCACTTCTGAAAATCCTCTCCTTCAGTGGGTTCATTGTCCATCTGCTCAGTGCTTCAGAGAACTGGGTTGTATCCATCAAACAGCATTCAAGCCCAGCTTCAGGCACTCTCTGTCAAAACACTGGTTTTGGGATCTGGCAACTGGAAGTTAGACAATGCTCATGGGAGTCCCTTGTAATCCAGGGGAAATCAAAGGTGAAATACATTGTCAATACCACACTTCAAATATCTGTTCTAACTTCATGCCTAGCCACTCTCCTCTGAATAAACAGAAAAATACAATTCATAATGCTGACTGAAGGAGAAGACTTGGCTTTATTTGCATCTATACTTTTAACTTGCTGTTTCAATTAACAATGAGCTTAAGTAATGCCTAAGATAGAGGAGGGATTTTTTTTTCACTTTAGTGGAAAAACATCCTCTTGATGGTTTTATAGGCTGACAAAAGCAGACATCAATTTCTATCAGTTATGTACACATGCAAATAAAAGAACAGTAAGGTATCCTCTCCAAAAGATGCCTAGATATTAAAACTACTGGGAATGCTAGTACAAAGATGATAGGACCTAAAGGATATCTTTGCCATCACATAACTTCTGAGGGAACAGGAGATGTAATAAAAATAAATGGCAAAGTAAAGCACAAGCACAAGGGCTTCCTGGGTTTTGCATGCCAAGAGTCATTATTCATTGACAGCCCTCACTTTTGGGCTGTTTGTCTACACTTATCCCTGGTTTAATGTCATTGTAATGCAGGGGAGTTGTAACAGCATCATAAGGCAGGAGAGATACCTGCTTTTTTCCAGCTGGATTGGTTCAGAGCATGCATTTGAAGAACTCACTGGTAACTAATACAAAATTGGATTCCCACTGGGTGGCCTGCTCAGAAATCATAGGCATGCCCCACACACGTGCTATCTAAGCCTGCTGAGCCCCTTTGAGGTAGGCAAATCCTAGTGCTCCTCACTTCCTACATGGAGGAGCTGAGGCACTGCAAGGTTAAATGGCACATGCCATGGGTATTGCCCAAAGACTGGCAAAACAGGGGGCACAGGAACCAAGCTGCTCACTCCCTGGACTCTCTGGTGGCTTCATGGTGCAGTTGTGCTGCCTTTCCCCCACAAAGGTCTCTTGGCTGCAGCTGTCCTGCTGCCAGCTGGGACATTGCCTCCTGTTTTACACTCAAAACTGCTAATGCTGAAGAATGCACTAATGCTTTAACCTAATGCTGAAGTTATCTCCAGGGTTTAACCTCTCAAAGATGAGTGGTATATTTCTTTAATATTTTTGTGTCTTTCTTGTAGTGATCTCCACCTGTCAATGTGAGCAGTATCCAGGTTTCAGCTCCATGAGCAAGGAGTGGTAAATGCACTCTCCTGGTGGCTCAGGAGACCAGTGGCAGGCTAGGCAATCCTGCCCTCAGACACTGTCCTTCCTCTCCTTGCCAGCAACTTCAGGGCTGTGGTTTCTTGCTTTTATGACCAGACAGAACTCCATTCATGTCAGTTATTAACATGGCTGATTAAAGGGGAGCATAGTTGTTAATTTTAGCTTCTCCCATCAATTTTGTTTCCACTAAAGCAGTGCCATCATCAGTTTGACTTAGGCAGTAAAATTTGAGGCACAAGGGAAAACCTGGGTATTGCTGGCAGCCAAGAGTTGACATTTCTCTGCTACTTTCTACATCTCCTGAGATTTAAGATGTAAGAGTTCCTGCTATGTAAGCAGAAAATTTCATGTGCTGAAAAATAATTTTGGTTACATCAGTATTTTTGCTTTCTTTTTCTTTATTCTAATCTCAGTCCTGGATCTTCACACTTCAAGGTCTGCCCCCACTGCTCAGCTTTAGCTTGGTAAACAAGTGTTGTGATGTACATAATCTCCACAACAGCCAAAAAGTCATGGTGTTTTCTTAAAATAAGGAGCACACAAACCAGAGCATTGCTGTCATGTTGCTATCATGTTTCTACATGTGGGTTTTGCTGTCAGAGTTGTTAGCAAAAGAAAAGGAGATATCATAGGATAGGAAAAGAACTGCCAAGCACATAAACATGTTATAATGCTGTGCAGCAGCTTCAAAGGACTTACATGGACCTTAGACCCACAGTGTTATCCTGGGCCATTTAATCTCTGACATGCCTCTGTTTCTGCAGAGAGGTTCTGGCAGACATGTATCCCTTTTGATCCCAGATGCCTGAACAGAAGGGCGTTGTGTTGACTGGGAGAGGCACATTGGGATGTACAGTTTGTCTGTGGGCTGCACTTTGTAATCTAGAAAAAAACCCCTGACTCAAACATCCCACCTGTGCTCTGTAACCAGCCCAGCTGATCCTGGCCAGCCAGCTGTCCTAATGGTACTGATGAAGGTCCTGTCCAGACAGAAAGCAGAATCTGTACCCTTAAAAGAGGTGTTCTTCACAAAACAATGGAGAAAAGTTATGTTTATATGCCAAAGAAAAAACAAAATAATTTTCTCAAAAGTAAAGGAAAGCACTCAGTCTCCTTACAGGAGAAGCACTGTCCAGACCTCCCCACACAAGCTGCATTTATTTAATTCTTTAGAGGTCACATGAGCATTGTCTTTGGTTGTCCATTGCACAGCAGGCACCACCAGTGTGGCCAGCCCCAAACAAGCATCCAGCACCTTTTGGCTGTTTGGTGGACACGTATTTTCAAGTATGAGAAATGTCATGTGTCATAAAGCACACGGGAGCAGGGGGTGGGCTGGAAACCAACCAGCACAGAGAGTTCCTCCATGAGGCCTGCACATGGAATTGCCTCTGGGGGATGTGTCCTCCCATTTACACTTCAAAGAAGCAATGCAATAATCAGGTTTCTAGCTTTGTGTCCAGATTAGACAAAAAAAAAAAAAAGTACCAACAAAAGAGTGTTTTGTAGACATCTTCTGATTCAGAAGTGCCAGCATGCTTAGCTAAAGACAGACCAATATATCAAATTAAAAAATATATAGGTGCCTGGAAATATTAACCTTGAATATTTATCAATTGCATGAGTGTTCTGGATGATGCGCAAGCCCACGTGGCCCTTCAGGCCTCTCTTCCTTGATGAATTAGATTCATTACTCATAGCTAGATGCACAACCATCTTTTCTGGTTTGTCCTCTTCTGGTGCCATCTGGTTTCTTGTGTACCCTGCCAGGCTGTTGGCATCAGATTCACTGTAGTTTCCATCCAGCATCATAGTTTTCGAGTGAGGTATTCCACATGAACATGAAAACTGGAGACAATAAACAAGAAATATAGTTGAATATTGGAAAAACATGTAAGCAACTGAAATTATGCCTTTCTATTAACAGACAGCTTGTAAACAGTTGAGTTCAAAATTTTGATTGAGATATTTTAAGTTTCTCTTTGAACAAAAAGGTCTTTTTTTTTGCTTGTTTTCAAAAGGAAGAAACAGGGTTTATCTCCACTGCTTGGACAAACAGCTTCAGAAAAGATTAGAAAAATGCTTTAGCAGATATATAGTCTAAGCAAAAGGTCTTAGTTAGTTGTTGTTCAGCCTAACTGTCTTGAGACTCCTTATTATTCATTCTTTGTGTTTATAAATATTCATGGATAAGATGCAGTTTAATCTGTGGAAATGGCTTATCCAGTACATGTTACAGGAAGAAAAGGGCCAAGTTCTGGTTTTACAGATACACATGCTTTTTTCATAAATCTGACTTTAAACCAAGTTGAGGGCCAGCTAAAAGCATAATGTCAAATCTCATCTCTGTTGGAGCTAATAGCAAAATTTGTATTGACTTCAGAAGCACCCACAAGTCTAAAAAATTCCAATGCATACAGATAGAATTTTGAATAGGAAATGCAGTCTTCAACAATTCAAAATCTTCAGTTTTCCTGTCCCAGCAATATGGATTATGTATTTGCATACAAAGAAAATGGACTCCAAAATGTCCTTTCTTTTAGGAGTTCCTTTCTCTGATTTCCCACAGACCAATTTCCTTACCCAATAATACTCCACCAACTTCAATGTGTTTTCCAAGAACTTGTTTTCAAGGATATGTTCAGCTAAAACAAATGTATATATCTGAATACATATATATGTAAAAATGTATATAAAATCAATATGTAATATTCAGGATGCCATTGGAAAACCCTGCAGTCGAGGCTTTTCCTTTAAATTATTTAAACAACAGATCACATTGCTTATTGAAAACCTTAAAATCAACTTAAGGATTGTTTTCTGTGTTCTTGGCATAACCAAAAGATTTGGTATCAGCAGGTCATGTTCAGAAAAACATGACAAGCTAGTAGCCTTCTTACTTTAATTTTTTTTATCACTCCATGAGTACAACTGAAGATCAATCGGGTTTTAAGACATATTTTATTCTAAGCAGGCACACTTTGAAAAACTCACGCCCCAAAACTAACAAAACCAAACCAAAATAGAACAAAACCAGAGTACAGCTCCCCAAAAAAGGGCTGCTGTGATTTAACCCCAGCTGACAAATAAGCATCATGCAGTCACTCACTCAACCCACCTTCCCCCCTGAACTTCAGAAGGTTGTGGAGAAGAATCAAATGTAAAACTTGTAGATTGAGATAAGAATAGTTTAATAACTGAAATGTGTTCTATGGTGTGGAATATCCATTTGGCTCATTTGGGTCACCTGTCCTGGTCATGTTCCCTCCCAACTTTTTTAGTTTACCTCCTCACTGGCAGAGCATGAGACACAAAAACGTCCTTGACTCAGGATAAACACAATTTAGCAACAACATCAGTGTGTTACAACATTATTCTCACACTGAATTCAAAACACAGCACTGTACCAGCTACTGAAAAGAAACTAACTCTATGCCAGCCCAAACCAGAATAACACCAAACAACACAAAAACCACAGGGGAGAATTACACATCAGGCTCTTTATCAGGAACTGACAGGTCCAGGAGATGGTGGCTGCATGTGAGGGACAGCAGTTACAATAACAAGCCAATTGCTGCAGGATTCAACAGAGGAAGCAATTCTGCAGATTTACTGTCAGCCCCCAGGTCAAATTAGAGTTCCCATGGCTTCATGCACGTGTGATGACAGCCACCTCTATGGACAAGAGAGCCTGACATGCTAGAAACCTGCTCCACAGAACCTAAAATTGCACTCATCCTCACATGGGCGTACACGCAGAGGCACACTGCGCAACTTCACACCCTGCAGGACTTTTAGCCTATATCCACAATAATAATCCAAAGACTGCCAAAGAGCCTCCTTGGACATGGGGATGCAGCTGACAGCACTATTAAAGTGCCAGAAAGGTCTCTGGCCTCTCTCAGCCCAGCAAGCACCGAAAAGTTCCCAGGTATGGGCTGGGAATAAGCATGGAGCCACAGACCCTTTGCCACAGGCATTTCACGGCAGCTCCTGTGATCTTCAGGGAGAGAAGATTTAGTTTTAGATACTGCCTGTCTTTGTCCCTGGCAATTTTTTCTTAATGTAGACATGACATAGAGCTCTTCTGGGCAGCCTTACATGTTTATACCAGAGCTTTTGGGGTCTTTCACAGGGGAGCAGCTCTGGCTGACAAGATCTACATCTACTGTGAGAAACGTCTCTTTTTCTTCTTCAAGAGCTTCTTCCTCAAATAATGCTATTTATTATCTCTGTTCCTGTTTCCCCTACTGAAGAATAATAGTGTCACACATTGAAGACTGGGTACAATATTTTCCCTTGTGCAGTAAAAAGGCATTTGCTGAATATAGAATTCAATGCACAAGACTCAATAAAGGGCAGATTTATTATATAAATAACAAGCTACACCATCACTGGATGTGGCAAAACATTCCAGAAAACTTAGCAGAAAATTAGCAAACCCTCTAAAGTTCACTTCATCCCTCCAGTACAGTTAAAAATAAAGGAGAAGAGCTTTCATCTTAAAAAAAAATTACAGGTTTGTTCTAGGCAAGTCAAACTTAGCAAGGATATTTCTTATTACTTCCCATGACCGGCCAAGACACCACATTCTTTGGATATGGGATGCCTGGGCAGGGCTGCCTAAAATGCCACAGCCCACTGCTCACACGCAGCAAGTCAGACACACTGGAGTCACTGTGCTTGCACAGAGCATCTCTACCTGGGTTGCAGAGATCTGCTGGGCCCCAGGTGGGGGCTAGGAGGGGCATAGATAAATTAAGATACTCAGGACCTGTTCAAGCAGCTTTCCAGAATCATAATGCTGTTGAGAAGGCCTTGAGGAGAGGTAAAATCTCATCACAGAAGTCTGGTAAATTTATCCAGTTGTTTTTTTAAATGTATCTAATTACATTTTTTTTGTGGTATGCCAACTGAGAAAGGTGCTGGGCTGTTATGGGGCTTGTGCTGTTCTTCAAGAAAGTCATAGGGAGAAAAGGAAGGGAAAGAGAAGGACATGCAAAACCAAAAGGGTAGTTCATAGAGGGAAATAGCACGCTTATGAGTGCTATTCATGAGAGATGATGTCTGCATTGGCATTTCCAACAAGCTTATACAAATTTCTCCAGGAGTCATAGACAGTAGGTTACCAGTATTACCAGGAGACTAATGTGGGGAGTTCCTACTGGGAAGAAAGAAACTGTAAAACGTGGTGATGTCCTGGGTGTATGGGGACTGAAAAAAAATTGTTTGTAAGCCTTAGTGTTCAAAAGGCAATGGCACTTTGTTTGATCACAAAGAAGGGCCTAAAGGTCTGGAGAGGACTGGAAAGGACTCAGGCCGGAAAGGACTTGAGGGCATCCCGAGTCCTATGTCCTGTGCATGGCGGGGCCAAGATGGTCAGGATGTATCAGGTGTTGGAACATTCCTGGGATGCAGGAGAAGACCTTTTATAGCACATTAAGAAGTACAAGCATAAACTTGGCTGACTGTGCTTGGTGATGGGAAACACCTCCACTATTACATCCATGAAATCCAGTTTCCAGAGTAATGTTAGCTGTAGAGGAAGGAAAATAATTTACACCAAATAAGACCTTTAGCTTACTAAACAAGAATTGTGGCTGCAGCGAAGTATCAGATTTTAGACTTTCCCCTCTTGCCATTCCCTCACATTTCCAGGTTGTGCTCTTTCCCAGTTCAGATCACACTCTCTTCTCTGAAGATCCATATGATCAAATCCTGTTTTTCTGTGTTAGCAATTCAGCCTGAGGTGGACCAGTCTAAACAGACCCAATTACACACATGGTTGTCAATGTTTTCCCATTAACAGACAGTCAATATAAAGACCAGATCATCTGTAAGGGTAAAAAAAAGGAATAAGTGGATGACAAAAGTGTTTCTCACCCTCTCCCGCAGTTTCCTCTCCTTCCGCTCTTGCACCGTTGTCAGGTAATTCACAGCCGCGTATTCCAGCACCGAGAGGAAGACAAACACAAAACTGACCCACAGGTAAATGTCCACTGCTTTGATGTAGGAAACACGAGGCATGGAGGCATTCACCCCAGTGATGATCGTGGACATGGTCAGCACGGTGGTTATCCCTGGAGAGAACCAAGAGAAAGAAATGTTATTGACTGATACAATGCATGAGGGGTTTTGTCTCTGGGAAAACAGAAATTATGGCCTACATGATGGTCTGAAAGATGTTCAGTATGAGACAAATGTGTGTAAAGTATCTTTTCTGCTAATGCAGACTTGTTCCCCTGCCTACATTTTTGTGCTCATGATGGGTCGAGTTTTGAGGAGCAATGAAGCAGTCAACATTTTGCATTTAACAAACAACATTTAACTCCCTCCTTAAACTCCAGGGTTTAAACACAATGCTGTTAAAAGGTATTTTTACACACCTAATCCTAAGATCAGGTCTGCTAAGATCAATGGGACAAGGACTCCTGTTTCCTAGCTGTACCATTCTGTGTTACATCTTCATTTTTAGGACCACACCACTTTCTGTCCTGAGCTACATATAAGTGAGGAAGACTGCTAAATGATGGAGGACTCAAGACAAAGTGCAAGTTATACATTGTATTAATCATCAGGTAAAACCACCATTTGCTTGCACAATATCTTCAACCATCAAAATGAGCAGTTCCCTTTCCTGCCAAAACCTTCACATTCAAAGCTTTTCACACAGCCCTGGCTTGTTGCAGTTGTTCTCACCCAAAGAGACTCTGGCAGGAACTGCTCGTCGGTCGATCCAGAAGGACACCCAGGACAACATGACCATGAGAGTGGCAGGGAAGTAGGTTTGGAGCAGGAAGAAGAAGATGTGTCGGCGTAATGTGAAGTTTATATAGAGTCGATTGTACCAACCTTTGAGAGAGGAGGAAAGCCAGGATCAGCGAGACCAGCCTGGACAGCAGGTACAGAGAGACAAGATCTTTCTTTGGTTCTTTTATTTCTAAGACTAGTAAAACAAGAAACTGAGTTTTCAAACAGACTGTGGAGCCTTCACTTCAGTGACATAATCCCAAGAGCTCCCTCAAAAGCAGTTAATACAGTATTAGGTTTAGCAATAGTACAACATCAGAAAAGGCCAATACCTGTGCTGCTGTAGAAAGCCAGTCTTGATGTGGTGTGGAATTTTTGTATCAAAAACTGAGACAAAGAAATTTTTTCATCAGTTTTCAGAGATTCATTCCCATTTTTCCAATACAGCATCAGATCTTCATCAGTGTAAGCATCTAAGGGAAAGAAGAAATACAATGTGATGTGACTTTAGCTTAGAGGTTCAACAAAAGTTAATACATCCAGTCTTTGGCATGAACTAATGACACAGGTAAGTTTGCCAACAACTAAGGAGTTCAAAAGATCTTGTCATATAATATACTGCGACAACAACAAAAATCTGGAATCAAGGTTCAAGAAAACAAATCCTCTTTTTACTTCACATTGAAATGACAGAATGGTACTCTTCTGAACACCACAGACTAAAAATAGATAATAGCTCAGGAAAAAATCATGGGAAAAAACCTTAATTTAGAGGAAGGAGGAAGCATGGACATTTCAAACTATCTTAGAATGATAAAAGCAAAAGGGACAGGTGAGAAGCAAAAGCCCAGAATTTTGTTAAAACTATAAATGAAAAACAGAGAATTTGTTCACTAAGTAACAGGAATGGGAAATGAGAAGAGTGTTATCAAGATCCTGAGGGACAGGAACACATGGCTTGGGGACAAGAGGCTGGGGGAATTGGTTCAGCTTGGAGAAGAGCAGTCTGTGGTGGGAGAAGAGCAGTCTGTGGTGAGAGAAGAGCAGACTGTGGTGGGAGAAGAGCAGTCTGTGGTGGGAGAAGAGCAGACTGTGGTGGGGTCCAGATGCTGCACTGCTGACCCTCATGGAGAAGGTGGCAGTAGCCTTTTCCCAGATGCTTTGACAAAATGGAGAACAATAGGAGAAGAGGCAAAGGCTGCAAGTCTCAGCAAAGGATTGTTCCCAAGCAGGTAAAAGGAAACATTTTCAGGATCAGGACTGTCAAATATTTGAGCATGTTGCAGAGAAAAGTTGTGGAGGCTGAATTAACTTGCTCAAAGCCCAGCTGGACACAGCTCCAAGCAACCCATCATGAAGAACTCCCTGCTCTCAGCAGGGTATTGGAGCAGCTGACCTCAAGGTCAGTGGAAATTATCTTCTGATTCTGATTTTTGCAGAGGAACATTCGGTTAAATAGCTGGGAGGACCTCAAAACAACCAGATATTAGTCTTGCCATACCCTGGAGAAAGTCTACAAAAAATCCTACTGTTCACATTGCTTTCCCCACCAAAGAAGCCGAGCCCAGATCACAGTGTTTGCAGGATCAGGATTATGTTATAGGATGTTTTCCTTGCAAATTCTGGTCTTGCACAAGGACTAGATCACAATACTGCTGTGTCAACAGGACTCCCAGTAACTCTGATGAACTATTATTTCAGGCTCTAAAATAGACAGTATTCTGAAACATGTCCAGTGAAATGTTTGTGCAGCCAGCCATGGAGAAACTCTAGCTAGAAACACGGATACAACTTACAGCTTTCCAGCTCCAGAGAACATGTCTGAGAGTCCAGGGGGAAGTGGCTGAAGTCCATGTTGCACATTGCTGTCACTGTGACCCTAGAAATCAAAAATGAGAAAAGCTGGTTTCTATGAGGAGCAATCAAGAGAGAATGTTATCACAGATAATTATTCTGCAGCTTTTAAGCCAGAAATATTGCATGATGTTTGCAAAAAATCCACAGGAAAATGCCTACCAATTCTCCATGTTCAAGCTAGATGGATTATACACAGAAATTCCAAATTTCAGTATCAAGGAACTAAAGCACAATCTTGGATGTTACTGCTATACTAATGTCAGTGTAGATATTTCCACTGTGTTTTATCTCCAACTATTTGCCTACAAGACTACAATGTAAAGTAACTTCACCATTTACATTTGAATATTCCCTTATGTGCAGTTTAATTAAGGTTTCCACATTTTCCTCTCAGTTCAGTTCCCTCCATAGTCACCCCCAGAATGACCCAAGCCTGAGGAATATGACCATCCTTATTGCAAGCCACAAAATTCCTTCAGTACATATATTATTAAGGCAAAAGCATTTTCTTACAGCTCTCAATAAACCTTTTTAATCTGAGGGGTGTTTTTCTGGGGCGGGAGTTGCAAAATGGGTGCAGCTGGTTTTCAGCAAGTGAGATTTGCTTCTGTTAAGTTTTTGTCTTAGCTAAAAAGCTGCAGCAATCACAGCTCCAGTTTTTAAACTAGTCCAGTTGTGCACAACATTACATAAGAAATTTTCCAGTGGGTCAGTGAACTTTCCCTGCAGACGGATTTGCAGAGGAGCTCCTGATTTAGGAGGGGCAAATCAGCTGTGACTCATCGTTTCAGAGGCCAACTTACGTTGGTTGTGACCATTTTCTAGATGCATTCCAGATGTTGATAAAGGACTTTTCCTCTGTTCCAGGGATTGTGATCCAAATCCTACCCTGACCTACACACTCATCGCCCCTGAAAGGCACATGCTGTTCATTTTGACTACAAACTACAGCAAAATTTTGCCATTTGAGCAAAATTTAAAGAGTGTTTTTGGGGATGTGCTCCAGAAGGTATCCTGCAACAATGGCCTCCCCTAACTGTGTGCAGCATTTAAGCATTGTATAACTCAGTCTCATTAAAGTGTGTTATTTTCTTTCTCTGGCATCATCTGAGCTGTGGCACAACCTGTGGTCAATAACAGTTTGTTAGTCAGGGCAGAACAGAAACTTGGCTCATCAGTATGATATTCCTCAATTAGAGTGCAATGTCCAGGTGGCTGTGACGGCTCAAGGCCCAAAACAGGAATGAAATGTTCCCCAGTCCACTGCCAATCCCATGCAGACATCTCAAAATACCTGAGGGCATTCCCAGCACCGCTGGACATCCATGCTTTTTCAGCTGGATACTGTTCTCAGTGTTCCAAACACCAGCGGGCCCAAATGCCATAGAGATTTTCTTTCTCCTTGGATTTTATGTATCAAATTATCAATTTAACAATTGTGCAATCAGCTGTAGTTAACTCACAGACTTCTCTCTTTTGGGTAACATTAAAAAGTCACATCACCTCCTCAACAGACCACAGAAGCAAACTTAATAGAAAACCTTTCCAAGTTTTTGAAAATCATTTTACCATGGCTGAAATGAATAAGTTTCAGAAAGATCCTAGAACAGAAATCCTTGGCTACAAAATATTCAAAGGTCACTGAACACTCAGAGCATATTTTCTGTCCTGGGGAAATATCCATTTTTTTTGGGCTCTTGAGCTTTTCTCCTCTGGCAGTGTATTTTTCTCTGCTTCTCTTTTTTCATTCTTCTGAAGGAAATTAAATCTGCTGGGATGCTGATGTGAGCAGCCATAAAGGTGGGCTGGTTAGAAGGGGAAACTACTGAGCAAAAAATGTCTGATGAAAAATATGGACAGAGAAAGGGAACAAGACAAATCCCTGAGAAGCTCAGCTGGCCTCTTTGACATGCAGATAGGGTACCTAGAAACTGGAGACATTCTGAAATACCATCAGTAACTGCCAAAAAAAGAAGTCTTTAACAGGCACTTTATTGTAAGAAAAGGTAGGAAATTATCTTGAAAATAAAAAAGGGTCTGGGAGAACAGAAAACATCATTATGTATTGGCTGTTAGAGGTGAAAAATAAAAATTACCGGCATCTATTGCCTATTCAAGTTGGTGGCTCTTATCTCTCTGGATATAAGGAGGCCATACATTTATCCAAAATGAAGCCTTCCTCTGAGACCTTTCCATGCTCCACACACTTTTCTGCTCCTTAGAAGGTTGAATTCAGTGCATGAACTTTCTGCCAGTTCTTGGACACCCACCAAGGACTCCTGGCTGACTCCATGCCCTGTGACTCAGAGCATCTCTGAAATGAGACACTGCTGTCTCACTGGTCCCCTCTGAGCCTGCTTTGGAGGCTGTTTCAGTTTGTCCATCCTTCCATCCCTTGGATGATTTGGATCACTTGAGATACCTGGACTAGTTTAAAAACTAGAGCTGTGATTGCCACAGCTTTTTAGCCAAGACAAAAACTTAACAGAAGCAAATCTCACTTGCTGTACACCTGCACAAGCAACTGTCCTAAGTGTACCTGAGGGTATATTGTAGATGAAATGTAAATTCATGTAATGTAAAGTAACTTGTAACAGGAAATACCCTGGTTAGTTATTGTCTGTTGCCACATGACTGACAGATGCTAAATTATTGATTGCTGACAGCAATTTGCAATAGAGTGATATGGATATACAGTCACTTTATTAACCATGGGTGTAGTTGCCAGTGGTGATTTTGTGGTAGTTTGCTTGCTAGTGCTGATTTTTGTGGTATTTTTGATAATCTGTATAAAGGTAGAGAAGTTTAGAGGATTAAGCCTCCATGTTCTTGTGTGTTACAGAATCCTGCAAACCCACAGGCAGGATCCGTGTACACCCACAGGATGGATAACCCTCCAGGTCATGACAGGCATCCCTCAGGATTCCTCCAGCCAACAAATCTACTAGAAAACCAGGATGTCTTTAATATTGCCATTTCAGCTTCAATAAACTTAAACATTTACATCAACAGGAAAGCACCACAACTGAACTGAAAAAAAAAATCTATACAAACAAGAAGGAAAATAGGATAATTATAGAGGTCACCATCTGGTATATCAGCAGCTTCCAGTTTAATCACACACTGACCCTGGGATGAACATTCCTGCTTGACTAAGCCCTCCACTGACTGCAAAGAGTTGGGGGCATGTTTCCCCCAGGAGGAGATTATCCTGTTACTGCCCACAGCATGGTTTCTCAGTTTCCTGCAAAGCACTTTGTACTGGACATTCTGGAAACAGGGCTCTGCATCAGCAGCAGGAGTAGCAGGATTGGCAGCAGCAGTCCTGGTGATCACCAAAGCCAAGCCTAGAGCAAAACTGGCAGCAAAGCCCCAGGGGCTGCCCGGGGGAAGCAGGGCTGCTCTGTACCTCATGCTGTAGAGGACGTGCCCATCGGGGAACACTCGCAGCATGATGTTGTCCGTGGTGGTATCATGGATGAAGGACCTCTTGGAATGCACAAAGAAGACATCAGGGACCCAGATCTTCTTCACCAGCCTGCCATCAAAGGTCATGCTCTTGTTGTTGGTGCTGGGAAATGAGAGACGCTCATCCTTCCAGTAGTGCCTTAAGTACAAGGTCATAGTGAAATCCTTTAAAAAAGGGAAGAGAACCAATAAAGGAAGAAAGGTCTGTCAGTGCTGCATTCTAAACTAGGACACACCAGAAAGAAAACTCACTCCCACCAGACAGATGAGATCTCTCCACTCTCAACTCCTGATTCTTTCCTAGGTCAATGCTCTCTGTCAGTAGATTTTCCCAACAAAATAATTTCAGCCAAAACAATGCGTAGCCAACTAATGAATTTATTACAGTACCCAGTAATGTTCAGTCCCAAACAGGATATAAATATGCCCAAGAGAAGCAATGCCCTGCAGAAATGATTCTTCAGTTCTGGCAAAATTATCTTATTATGGTAGCAATAGGATGATCAAGAGGAAAAACTGAAAGTTAGCTTAATGGTCATGCTAAACACTAAGCAATTTATCTCCAAAAGGACTAAATTGTTGCAAATAGCAACTAAGTGAGGGAACTGTGTTTCCTACCATATAAGTGTGTAAATACAGTTCCCTTTTAGGCATGTTGATGGGGCAGGAGCTTCAGTGACATAAAGGAAAACATCTATTTGTTGATCCCAACCTGGCAGTTGCTGCTTTTAGAGCTGAATCTACTCTCATGCTGAAAGACCAAATACACTTATTTCCTTTATATTCCCAATTAAGCAAGTGGTTATGGGAGCTGCAGCTGCTAAGTCTGAGCAGGCAGCAGCACAGGCCAGGGTTTCTCCCTAACCCACTTTCTCAAACCACAGCCCATCAGTTTGGTGACAGTGACAATCAGTTACCCTGACTCTCTGCTTCAAAGGGCTGTCTCACAATGGCCATGCACTGCCAGTGGGTTTTGCATTAATTTGTCAGAGAAGGCTCTGGTGCCAGTCAGTTCTCCCCTTGATGCCTGGCACAGCACAGAGCTGGCCAGACCTCTCTGACCATGGCAGAGACTGGCCAGGGGACACTTCTGCTCACCCACCTGCAGGTCCCCACCTTACCAGACTGATCCCAGCCTCCCTCAGTGCTCATCCCAGGGATGCTGCCAGCTCCTGCTCCCTACTGGACACTGGCCACCTTCCCCTTACATCTACAGTCCCAAAGAAACACTTGCAGCAACTACTGCCAATGCAGAGCTTAGGTTACAACCCAGCTAGAAGAGCCAGCCTCAGGGGCTGGACATCAAACTCATCAGTTTGACTAGAGCTGGGAAAAAGGGAACCAAGGAAGAGGCACAATTGCTGCTTTCTTAGGGGTCAGAGCAGGTTATATTAAAACTCAAAAAAGGAGTAAAGCAGAGCCTGTCAGTTCAGGGTTACCAGTTGCCTGGCCATGACATGAGACAGAGGGACATGAGGCTGCAGGAGAGGAGCACCATTCTCATGGTTTAACTCCAGCCAGCTGCTCAGTACAACACAGACACCTGCTCACTCCTCTCTCCCACCACCTCCAGCCAATCTGATGGGGAGTAGACTTACAAGAAGTTGGGTTGAGATAAAGACAGTTTAACAATTTAAATAAATAGTAATAAGAAGAGTAATGAAAAGGAAGATGAAAAGAGATAGAGGGGCAAAACTCCAGAAAAACAAGTGATGCACAATACAGTTGCTGACAGATGCCCAGCACATCCTCCAGCAGTGATCAGCCCCTTCCAGCCAACTCCCCCCAGTTTATACACAGGGCATGATGTTCTGGAATATCTGGAATATCCCTTTGGCCACCTCAGGTCAGCTGTCCTGGCCATGCTCCCTCCTGGCTTCCTGTGCCCCTCCTCGCTGGCAGAGCACAGGACACTGAAAAGTCCTTGACTCAGGGTAAGCACTGCTGAGCCACAAATAAAACACTGTGTTATCAGTATCATTCTCATACTAAATCCAAAACCAGCACTGTACCAGCTGCTAAGAAGAAAATTAGCTCTATCCCAGCCAAAAACAGGACAGCCAGGCAGCCTGAGGCTGTGGCTGCAAAATGCCTCTGGGCATCAGGCATCATCAGAGTGGGGACCATCAGCCAGGCACCCTCAGCACTGCTTACAGCCACTCTGGAGGAGGGGGCAGACACTGTCTGAAGGCACAGAACAGGAGGGAACTCACTTTCCTGCTTTCCAGGCCACTTCTCTCCCTGTCCTACCCAACTGGAGCTTCACATCTCTCACCTTCAGCCCCTTTCTCTCTCCAAACAGCCAGCACAGTGGCCTCTGCAATGGCCAGCTCTCCTCTCCCTCCAATGGCCAACCTGGTGCACCAAATGCTGCCAACACAAAGTGGCAGCTGACAACAGCTTCTAAGTATAAAATCTAACTTAAAGAGGCTTTTTCATGGCATGATTCAAAAGAGGCAGTGTGCTGACTGCTCGTTCCTTTCTGACCAGCACACACACTATTTACAAGCAAGAAAAGAGGTTTATTTCAGCACCCACAAATAGGAAAGTCTCTCTGGAAAACAAGGTTTTACAACAAATTGGGAGAATGATAGTACCTGCCAGAGGCACAGCCAATGAGTCTACACAAGTACCTCGATTTTGGCAGCCTATTTCATGTTTGTTCCAAGCTCCAGGCAGCCTCAAGAGCATGTCCTGCCACTGCACACAGCAGCAGCCCATCCACATCAACCAGCCAGGCACTGGTTTTAAACCCACATGCCTTGAACAGCCCCTGGCTGCTCTCACTGTCATGCACAGTCTTGCAGACACAGTGGGTTGGGGCTGGTGATGCTTCAGTCTGGTCCTTCTTTGGGGCACCAGGAGCCTGCTCCAGCAGTGGTAGGTAAGGCCTGCCCAGCCCAGGGGAGCTGATTTTCAGAGCAGTTTGAAACAAGCCCTGCCTGCAGTGAGGAGACAAGGAGGGCTCCCTGCTGCAGGCACAGCCAGCCCTGGCCATGCAGGGAGCTTGCTGCCCACTCTCCTCCCTGCAAACACCCATGCTGGGACAGTCTGTTGGAACATAACTCAGACTGATCTGGGAGAACATTCTTCCACCCCAATATATGTCAGCAGCTGCTATGGAAAGTGCTTGTCATGAGCTGGGAAAATAGGAACTATCGACAGCCAAGGGAGAGAACTGACCTCCAAGGCTTCTGGCAGGCAAGATTTTCATTGAATCCTGACAGAAAGCACTGTGAGTTATTTACTTGCCCTGATTAGGCCTCTTTGCTGCTCTGACATTATCTTGATATATTGGAGCCCCAGTTCTCCTCCTGACAGCCATTCCCTGTGCTCCCCTCCCACACACCTCACTGCATGCATACCCACAACCCTCTCTTTCAATATCCAGGCAGGCAAGCTGCCTGGTTTTAATCACAGAACATAGAATATTTTGGGTTGGAAAGGACCTTTAAAGGTCATCTAAACCAACCCCTCCAAAATGGCATGAAGATGTAATTGCACCATATTAAAAAAAAAATCAACCTAAAGCTCTTCCTTTGTCTTTATGTTTTGTCTAGACCACAAAAGGTGCACAAGAACAGGGAGGAAAAGGCAGAAAGAGGAAGGAGCCCAGAAGCTTCTTCTTTTCCTCTATGTTCCACTTCTCTTTTAAGTGTTTTTATTCCATTTCCTACAATTAAAAATAAAAAATCCCCATGAAACAACCCCAAACCACACAGTAAAGCGTGTGTGACTCTCATGTGAATTCAATGGTTCCCTAAGGAAGAAAACTCCTGTAGCAAACACAGCTTATATGAATTTTACCATGTAGCTTCAAACCTTCATCTGCAGCTGCTGATATTTTAGTTGTGATAGATGTTTCACAGCACTGATTACTCTCCCATTCAAGGTCCCTTTTCTCTTCACACTTTTAATCTTTTTCCTCTAGAGGTAGAGAGGTAAGACTTTGATCATCTGGTTTTATCAAGTGTTTGGTTCTGATTATCAGCCTCTTTGAATTTTGGAGATGCTGCTATTACTTTCATCTGACCAATGATTGCAAGCCCATAGGTTTCAAGTCAGGAGGTCTTTTTATGCCTAGAATTAACTGAGGCTTAGAAGAGCATTACATACCATGTCAACCTCAGAAATACTGTCCAAGCTTTCAACTTGCACATCCACCCCAACAGGAATCGCAGGGCCTGAAACAGAATGAGATTTAGATATGTAAATAATTGTTCTTTCACATCATTTGCATTTAATTAGCACTTCTAAGGTGACATGCAAACATTTCTGAGCTTATGTTGTACATTTCTGTCAATGGTTCTTCAGGAAGGGGCTGGAGAATGAGTTAGTGAATAACCATGTAAGGGCCCTTTTGAAACATTGACTTTTCTTCCCCTTGGCAAATGCTGCAATGTTGACACTTTGCCAGTTAGTCCAGAGCTTGGATGAAACATTTGCCTATGTTTTTAAAAACTGAGCCATCCCTTCTTAAATTAGGTCTTTATGAGCAAATTTAGCCCCAAGGACAGGGGACTGAGATGAAGACATGGCAAGCAACAAGTTTTTCCTTGGAGGTTTCTCATTTTTTATCAACAAGGCAAGCCACATTAATCTCTCAAGAGCTCATCACCGTCTTGATTCATATTACTCACTGATGATATTGCTAGTTTTCCACAATAGTTTTAAAATTAGCAATCAGAGAGCTCACAAAGAGCAAATAAGCATAAAACATCCAATAATAAATTCACACTCCTCTATTACTAGAAACCCTGTGTCAAAACTTCACTGCAGACTGCTGCTCACTAATGACCAGGACCTGCTCAAGATCCCCATAGTGTGCTTTCATGCAGCTTTTCCCAAATTCTGGTGGCAAGGGCCTACTGAGACAAGCACACCAAGCATGGCTCAGCAGGAGCAGCTGAGGAGGAGTGCAGGTGGGTCCAGCATTGCCTGGTGCCCCCAGGGTGGGGCAGTGGGACTCACACCAATGACCCTGTCCAGGGTGTGCCTGGCACTGCCAGTGACACAGACCATGCAAAGGAAGCAGAAGCTCTGCAGCCATGTCTGAGACTTGTCCAGCAGAAATTAATTTTCCAAGGACCACAGTGGTGCCCATGAAGATTTGCAAAGACTTTTATCTCCAAGATTTTGAACCTGATTAGCAGTCAGATAATATGTAAGGTGCACCACAATCCCTTTGTGGACTCAGACCCATATTTGCAGTGCCACAAACAGCAGGGCCTGCTGCATGCATACATTTAGCTGGAGTAGCATCTTTCTCAAGACCTCACCAAAGCTCTGAATACACTACAAGTCCAACCAGGGAGCAGAAATGTTGCTGAGAGAGCAGCACATTTTGCAAGCTGCTATCCATCATGCTCCTGTACCTGCAGCAGCATGTACACACTCCCACACATCTTCAGGGCTTTTGAACACAGCCTTATGTTTGCCTCTGCTGGAGGAGAAAGAGGCACAGCTCAGGCTCAGGAGGGAAAGGCTGGTCCCCATGCCCTTGAGACAAGCTGTGACCAGCCCCAGTGCAGGTGTGCCAGGCTTTGGTGGGCCAGCCCCACCTGAGTACAGCAGAGCACACTGATGGTGGCACTGTCCCCTTCCCACAGCTCCAGCGTGTTTTGCCCACAGTGCCTGTCAGCAGCAGGGCTGGGGTCAGGCACCTTGAACAAGCCCTGTGGAGCAGGACCAGGCTCCCCAGAACCACCAATTCCAGTTTAAGTGGCTGTTGCCCACAGCAGGGAAGCTCAAACATGGCAAGCCCAGCACTTTGAGGTGACTCCCAGATGCTGACAAACACCTACATGTCACATGCAGACACAGCTGTGCACTGCATACCTTAAAATTGCTAGCAATCATTTGCAACTGAGAGAAAAAAAAATTTCTGTGACATTTCTCTTGCTCAGTAAAAGATGATTTGGTTTGTTCAGTACCTAACAAGGTAGCAAAAAGCACTTTATCTGTGGTGACAAGAGACACTTTGATGTGCAGTACAATCAACAGAGAAACAGCACCAGCTGAGGGCTGTGTGCCCAACACATGCTGGGCAGCCCCCCACGACTTCCAGACTGCAAGAGAGACTCCCTGTGTGTGAATCCTTAATTCAGCCTTGGTTCAGGAAATCAACACCCACACAAAGTCTATTTACTGTGATTTCTATGCTTCTCTGAGCACTAATCACAGATTTAGAAAACCCCAAAAAAACCAGCAACAAACAACTAAAACCCAAACCCATAAACATAAGAACACTGCCAAGCTGATATCTGTCCTGCTCTCCTATTCCTTCCCCATCTGCCCTTGAAAATAAAATACCATGTTCTTTGCTTTGTTCATGTTCCTGCATCAAACACTCAATAATCAGCAGTTATCCCATTGCAAGGACAAAGCCTAAGGCTCAGTCTGGAACTGACACAAAGCTTTATTAAATCCAAAATAATGGGTGTTCCACATTAAGCTGGTTGGTCTGGAAAGTTCTTGAGAGAAGAGGTCCAAGGCTGGATTAGGTGTCTTTTCTCCAGTTATTCACAAATTTGGGGGATGATAAAACAGTGATTGTAATAGAAAGAGGGAGAAATTATTTGAATACTGGACTCAAATGTTTAGTGCTTAATACAGAAATGTAAAGATGAGTCTGTAAAACCAATTTATTTCAGCAGAAATAGTTACTCTGCCTTTTTTGGGGCAAACTCCTACTACAATCAGCAGGAGTAATCACTGCTTTTTCCTTCTCCCTGCTCTCTCATTGCCTCAGCCCCAGGTGCTCCTCACTCAGCACCTGGGGCTGAGGCAATGAGAGAGCACACAAATGTGAATGAGGGTATGATGAGACACAAAGACACTTTGGAGGAGGTTTAGACAAGAAGCTGGACTGAGCAGGAAGGGTGAGTGAAGGGCCAGTGCAAATGTTGCTGCTTGTGAGGTAGCAACAGGAATCAAAGGATCACCATGTCCTGCTCTTGGCAATGAGCATAAGTGATAAAGATAATTGTATATTCACTCTGCCCATCACTCTACAAAATGTCAAGTAAGATGCACTTTTGTAGAGGTGCTTGATGCAAGCAACATTGAAAGTGCATGCAGCTTCTGAAGCACAGCAGAAGCCCCATCTAGAAATGACCTCTTTAAACCACAGAAACAAACCCTGGGTTTCCCTAAAGGGCATGTTGGCTACAGCACATACCATTGAATTAAATGGCTGTTGATCACCCAGAGAGAAATGTCAGGAGATCTTTGATCTCTCTAGCCCATGGAGTCAATTAGGAGCTGCTAGCTTTTTAATCCTGTCCCTCTGGCAACTGAACAGTTGAACCACAGAGGCTCAGAGTGTTTTACCAAACTCCTCATCAAATGCCACTAGGGATGAGCAAAAAGAAAAAAACCCTCTGTATTGAGAGGGAGCAGAGTATGAGGAGGGTGTGAATGTGAGGGAACAAGAACAGCTCAGATGGGATATGACAAACTGAACTGGTAGACAGAACAATTAACTTTGGTTACAGCATTAGATGCAAAAAAGCCCTCACCAACCAGGGTTTTTTTTTGTCATAAACAATATTTTATCTATATTCACCTTTTCTTCAGAAAGAGAAGATATAGGATCATCAATAGAGAAAATCTAGGACCATCCTAGAGAATTATAAGCAACAAAAGACTTGAACACATTAACACTGGAGAGATCTCAAAGCTCAGGCTCCTCTCCAGGATGTTCACTGCTGCACAGGAAGCTAAATGGATCCATGTGAAAGCTGGAGATATGGCTGATAAAAGGAAGCAGTGCTGCTTTGCTCAAAGCCTGCAATCCAGCAGAGTTTTTCAGATCACACTTTGGAGTCTCTGAAAAGTATCAGCCAAATTAATGGAATTTTGGGTTGGTTCTGACAGAAAGAAGATTTTGTGGCTCGTTTCATATTGCAAAAACTCCAGTTTGAGTATCGAACTCTGCCCCAGATTGAATGGGGTGTCTGGCCTTGGGCTGAACTCTCCAGGGAACCCAGGAGGTTTCCACAAGTCCTGTGCAGGAATGACTTCAGAAGGAGCCCAGCATTAAAGCCTGTTCCATCCCAGTGTGTCTCCACACCTAAAAACACCAACCAGTGAGCAGCATGAAAGCCTCTAAGTGTGAGTCAGTTCCCAGGCAGAACTGGGGACAAACGTGGTTTTTATTTCTGAGCACTGGAGCAGGCTTTGGAAGAGAGGGAAGAGGGTGCTGCCATGAAGATGCCTGAAGTCAGTTTTCCACTCTGCCTCTGAGACTAGAGCTTTGTGACACCTCTTCAATTTTTCTCTTTGGAGGTGCTCTCAAATTCTTGTTGTCTCTCTCTGAGGCAGTGTCCACTCATCTCTCTTTGAAGGAGGGAGGCAGATGAAGGCCCCGAGATAAAAACACGTACATGAGAAACGAGTGGGTTTGAGATTTCCTTGCTGACAGGTACCTTGTGCCCACCCAGAGAGACTGCAGACCCCTGTGGGACCTCTTAGGTGTGGGCAGCTCCCAGGCAGGAGCACCAGGACGTGCTCATCACCCTCCTCATGCCTGCAGGGTCAGTCCCTCTGCCTCTCATGGACGGTGCTCGTCAGCAGAGGAGCGAGTTCTATCCCAGCCCTTGTCACTAAAAACACTCCGGGAACTACTCGTGCTTTATTCATCCCACTGTTCATCCATCCTGGCAAAAGCACTGCCCAGAAAGGGCAGCAAGGATCAGCTGATGTTAGGCTACTCGGCTATGAGCAAATATAATAAAAGTAAAGCATTAGGCTGGTCCTCAATAAAGAAGATACAGCTATTTTAAGTATCAACTAAAGCTGCTTACTCACAGGCTCCCTGTAAAATATGAGATGTCATAAATGAAATGCTTAAAATGGGTGTTTAAGGAAGGCAGCAAAACAAACAATTACATAATCTGTAAATATTAATAATAGTAAATAATACCTGAACATCTGCTACCTAGAACAAGGTCACTGACATGGAGATAACTCCCTAAGGGTCAGAAACCCCACAGTCTCTTTTAGCTTATGAATGCTCTTTGACCATCATCAAAGCAGAAAACTTTGTCATTGCCTCTGTACCCAGCCTGTCTCTAATGGGCTGAGGGCAGGCAAGACAGCCATGCTTATTGGGCTGTTAATAACACAACTTACACAACATTTGTTTGCTCACTTGCTCTTTACAAAGATACTTTTTCTTGAAAACCCCTTCACCTTTCTCTAATATTGAGGTTTTTTTCATTCCACCTTGCACAACCCCAGCCTGTTCTGCCCAGTGGCCACAGCTGTGTTGGGCTGGCAGCTTGCTGACTGTCCTCTGCAGACCAGCAAGTGCCACCGTGGCCACCATAGAACAGCTCATTCCCCATCCCCTTTTTAGCTAAAGGTGGAACTGCAGGCTGGCCCACCAAACTTGGGAGCCATCAACAATATTGACTTTCTTTTAGTCTTAATGCCACTCACCATTTACTTATGGTATTATTTTAATTTTCCAGAACTGAGGTGCCTTTCCCACCTGCAAGGTAACATCACAGGCCCAATGCAATGCCATAGAGCTGGAATCTCAGTTAGACCAGAGAGGCTCTTAGGGCAGTGACCAGTTACAATCATGTGCATCCCACAGGCTCCTCTTCTGCACTTTGGCAGTACAAAAGCCTTTTTATGCTCCCCAGGTCAGACACATCAGTTTGAGTGACCCTGCCACAGCCAGAAGCTGGAAGCACTCATGGTGCATAGCAAATCACTGTGACTGCCTGATGAATAACACTGCAGACAAAACTATGAGCATCACCTCTTGCCAGACTTTTGTTCCCTTTCCTTGTGGTTTTTTTCCACTAGGCTTATCATCTGTCACTAAAAACACACCGTGCAATTCTGCAGTGAGAAAGAACCTGTAGCAGCTGCCATCTCTGTGTGTCTGAGTCAGGATTTCCAAGGCTGGAGCCTCAACAAAGCTGTTTCCATGCTTTGCTCCTCATCCCATGCAATTTCAGTGCAACTTCGCTAATGCCACACCTTTGTCCTAAGAATCTCTTCAAGTTAAGGAGGTTTTAAACAAAAAGTTTTTCAACCCATCGTGTTTTTCCTTTATAAAAAAAGGAACCTTCTCAGCAAAGGCTCTTAGGGTATTATAAACATTTTATAAACGTTATTCCAAATTTTGGCTCTAGAAGAATCTTAATGCTGTGATGGGAGGTAGCATGGGAGAACAAGGCAAAAGAGAGATTCAAATGCAGTTCCATTAACACTAGAAGAGTGTCTATGGAATTACATGTGTAGGTTTGGTGTGACCTGTGCTCAAATGCATTCTCCAAGGACCCTGTGACACTGATGAAAACAGTAAAATTCAGATGTTTCCAGAAATACAGTGCAGTGGTTCCACTGGGTGCCAAACCATCAGCACAACAGAACAAAACCCTGCAGCTTCCCCCAAAACAGGCAGGATGCCCTGACATACATCCAATTAGGGGGAAAAAAGTTAAAAAATCACCCTGGCTCCCCCACTGTCTCCAGCTGAGGCAAGGTAGGGATTCCAAATTTCCTCCCAGAGAAGCCTTATCATCCCACCCATCAGACCAGCAGGTCTTTTGTCCTGGACAGATCAGCTGCAGAGAGGACAGATCAGCACCTTCAGTTTGTCCATATCAGGCACTCAGAAGTCAACAGCCAAGCTACAAAAATTGAGGTTGGCTAAAAAAAAAATTAAAAAAAATCAGAAAACCTAAGACAGCATCCTCTGACCTTAGAGCATGGGAGGGCATACCTGGGATATAGGTGCACTTTGGTGAATTCACACTTTTACAGCCAACCCAGTTTCAAAAGAAACGCAGTGCCTCCAGAGCCAGCTCCCAGACCTCATCCCTGGGCCTCAGCTGCACCCAGGGCTCAGTGTGTTCCCACCAGCCCCAGGGAGATCTGCCCATGCTCCACCCAGAGGGCAATTTAAGGCAAACTCTTCAACCCCAGAAGCAGCAGACCAAGGTAATACTGATTAGAAAAGCGTCACCTCCAATGTTTAGGCTGGACTACAACTTGCTGGTAAATAACATTGCAGGGGCAGGAAACTCTGGCTATGACAGGTTTTGAAGCCTGGAGTTTGAAAATACATATAAAAATTGTGAGCAGGGGTCAGCATTGTGCTCTCAGAATGGCACATCTGCACTGAGAGGCAAGAAACATCTTTTCAGCCACACCAGGAATGGGCAGGTCTGAAGCTCTGTTCTATGGACCTGGGTTAAAGGACACAACACTCTGTGTCCCACTGGGCAGGGAGAGGTAGCCCTTCACCCTAGATGGCCAATTGACAAAGGATGCAGCATTAGTCATTCAGTGAAAACTACAGAAAACTTTGCCCTTAGCTCTGGAAGGATTTGGTTATTGATGAAATCAGAAGAGGGATTGCCATACTGGTATTCCAGCAGGTTTGTTTCAGGTACCCTCTTATCTCTGCAGTGGTGAGTCTGGAAAGGTCAGGCAAGCACACTCCTGTAACTGGGTGTGACCAGAGGCAGAAGTGAAGCAGGCAGAGGTCTCCCCTCTCACTCTTTTATTTGCTTATAAGAGTTTGAGACCAGATTTTTTTCTGGACAAAAGTATTCAGTTTTCTCCTAGTAATGGTGGGCTGTGATCCACCCAGAGTTCTTTACTTTGCAATTTAATCACATCAGCTGAAAAGCTCATTGCAACTTCACAACCATAGGTGAATATTAAAACCTGCAGCTTGCCCCTCTTCTCAACAGAGTGAAACACTTACTGGGAGTGTACCATCCTGAACTCTGGGGAATGCCAGCCAAAACCAGAGCCAACTGCAGCAACAGGAGGGAATGTAGGAAATGTACAGAGCTCAGAGGGCAAGGAGGATGAGCATGAGGCCTCTCTGAATTGGCACCAAGCCTTTTCCCTTCACTCTGATGCCTCTGGACAGAGGTTTGTTTGCTTGGTTTTTAATTAGATTGTTAATTGGGTAATTAGATTAATCTTAATTAGATTAGCACAGAATCAAGAGAACCATTTGATCCTCACCTCCAAAGGCGGGCCGCATGGTGAAGTCGTGTTCATCCACTCGGAGAAGCTGCTCTGTCTTTCCTCTCCAGGCTTTGGTCAAGTCGCGATTCCTCTTAAAGATGTGGCTGCAAAAGACAGCAACAGCATTGCTCTGATGTCTCTGTGCCCAAGTGCCACAAGTGCCAGCCCAGTTTCAGAGCCACAGGAGCAGCAGCTTTGCAGGCACAATCCCAGGGACCGTGGGGAGACTGCCAGCACCAGAACACAGACACAGAGCTGCCTTTCCACAGCACCAGCTCAGACCTTTGTGCCCCACAGGCAGCCCTGCTCCCTCTGCCCCAGACACCCCGGCTCCCAGGGAGGCAAAGGCACAGAGCACAGCATCTCACAGGGGAGCTGCGTGCAGGGAATGCCTTTGCAGCTGAGAGCAGCACCAGGGGAAGCAGCTGGGAGCCCCACGTTACCTGGCCAGGATTTGGCCAGGTACCAAGGCAGCATTGTCATGAAAAAGCTCCTTTCAATGCTGGTCACGCAATGTCATACACTAGGAAACTGCCCCACTAACTTCACCAATTCAGGGCCAGCAGTTTGTGTGGACAGAGGGTCTTCTGGCTTTCAGCAGCAGCAAAACCACCCATTCCTCCCCACAACAGCAGGAAGAGAGGAGTTTTATCTAAAGAAGCCTTCAGTCCCTCACTTTTCTGAACATTAAGGTAGGAAAAATTCTAACTTTTCATTTGAGATATTGTATGATAACAATGGAACAAGGATGACAACAAACCCCCAAGAAAAGTGCAAGATAGTCACTAAAATCCCATAAGGGGATAACTGACCAGCACACAAACAAATGGCATGCACTTCTGGAAGAAAATCCAGATCAGCATCCCTGACTGCTCTGCAGTGGTGTGAGGGGAAGACTTGGAACATTAAGGTTCCTCAATCCCTTTGCTCTGGACATAAGAGCTGACAACGTTCTAAGTACTGCTGCAATTAGCTGGTTTCCAGTAACTTACTGAAAATAATTACAATAAATAGAAAGAACTTTATACAAAAGGTTCAGGTTCCTTTTCCTGTATGGAAAAGATATGACTGAAAATAAAGAACAAAAAATCTTGGAGGAAAAATAAAGAGACTACTTAGGCTTAAAGTCTTGATCAAGAATTCAGAATACAAGAACTCAGAATACAAAACAATCACCCCACTCATAAATGTGGGTATAGAAAGGGATGTTCTTAGCTTCATTAAAATATTAAGTACTGTAAGTATGAGCCAAAGGGAGCATAAATCACAAATCAGAAGGATAGTTTCCCATCAGAGCACTAAGTTCAAGAAAGAAATGATGAAACCTAAAGGGTGTTGATAGCTGCTGCTAACATCAATAACCCATTTCCTTACAATAAGGAGATGAGAAGGAAGCAACAGAATTTAAAAATACTTGTATCAAGTAGATGTTTTGAAGGACTATAACCCCTTGTACCCCAGGGCACATGCTACACAGGAAGAGTTGGATCTCCCTCAGGTTATTTTGGGCTCCTATTTCACTTGGGATGGCAGAGCTTCTCTCCCTGCTGGCTGTGAGAAAGAGCCAGCCAGAGCAAGCGCCCTCCCGACAGGGCTGCATTATGGTTACCTAAAAGCAGGGGTGTAAAACCACGCACAGCCATTAATGGGAATGGTTGGAGGCAAAAGCTTGGCTTTTAACTGCTTGCTGCAGGGGGAAGCTTTGTTTTGCTGCAGAGTTAGGGCAGCTGCCAAAGCGCTGCACCTCACCATGCACTGCTAGGCCTCTGTGCCCGAAAAGCTGCAAGTCAGGAAAGGGATCTTCCTGTGTCTGCTCGGCTTTGATTATCAGGGAAAACCCAAAGTACCAGGGAATGTTCAATCAAGTCTCTCTCCTCAAAGAAGGGGGTGGAAAAGTCCAATTAAAAATCCAATAAAACATTGGAATGCATTGTACAAGGAATTAGTATGGAAAACCCTGGCAGTGTTATCTTGCAAATCAATGGCTCAGCCTCACTGAAATGTTACATTTTGATCAATTATTTAAAAATCATCAAGCAGCAAAGAGCACACAGGACAGCTGCTGAAAGCAGTCTGTGGCTGCAGAGGTTTAGAGGGCTGGTTGGAGGCATGGATACTCTCTTAGGAGGAAAAGAGGTTTTCAGGCACATCCTGAGCCAGAGGTTGCATTTAATAAGCATCATTTAATCATCAGTTCGTGCCCAGTCCTTCAGGTATTATGACAGCCAATTCAGATTTTACAGAAAAGCTCTGACAGTCCCTTTTTAATAAATTTAATCCATTTACAATGTTTTTGTATTGAAATATTTTTAATGACAGGAAGTCTACACAGCCTTTAAAATTTATTACTACTTTTGTCTATTTAATCCAATTCAAGACCAAGTTTGTTTGAAAAAAAAATTCTTTATAATAGCATTTGACATCAGGTGTGCTGTATCTTCTGCCCCTCTCTGGCAGCACCCCATGCCAGCCCCACTGCTGTTTGGCATAGGGAGCTCTCATCACCTGCAGCAAAGGTGACACCAGCTGCCCGTGCTCTTGTGGAGCTGAAGGGGGCTCTGAGCACTGCTGCCACAGGGTGCCTTTACTGACAATCTGATCACCAGCATCTCATAAATCCTCCCTGATGTACTTATGGTCTTTAGCATTTCTGATTATAGATTTGTCAGGGTTTCTTTCGGCTGCATGCATTCTCTGCAGTTCACTACAATTTGTTTAAATCTACCCATCTCCTTTTGTCTTTTTTCCCCCATTTTTCATATATAATTTTATTGCTGTTTATATTTTGTCCAATGGGCATAAATTTGATAAATCTGAATTCTGTGAAGAATTGTTTCTGTTCAAAGAGAAGAAAAGGTGACCAATACCTCACTGAGCTTCTGTAAAGGCTTCTGTATTATTGCCTTAATTTTTAAAAATATTTTTTCCTTTCCACTTTTACTCAGAATTGTCTCAATTGCATAAAATAGATTTTTTTCTATTGCCCAGTATATCAAAGAGAATTAATTCTTGATGGCATGAGGAATTACAGATAACAGCTCAGCAAAAAAGAGCAGATGTTTATGCAGACATTCAGACCTTTCCAGAGAAAGATGAAGAACTTTCAGATTGGAAACAGTCCTTGTGCTGTAGGGCACAAGGCAATGGCTCATGTGGTGAGCCTGAAAGGAAACACGTCTCCATCCTGAGCATGGCACAGCTGTTGGCAGCCAGAGTCTGGCAGGTTTCTGCACCTTCCCCTGGAGAATTCAGGATGGATTTTGGTCACAAGATGGTAACTTATGGCCATGGGACCTTGGCTCCAATTACATACTGGGATGCAGAGAAGTATTTCCACAGTTTCAGTGAAAATCTTACAACTCTTCAGCATATTCTCTGGGGAGAAAAAAAAAAATCCCAAAATGCATTAGGTGAAGGCATCATTTACTTTGTGTAGCAGCCACAGCAAGCTGGAGGAGATGCACACTGTGTAAACCCAGCACCTAGGAAGGTACAAGGCCTCCTGTTTTCTAACCACCAAAGCATGTGACTGCTACAACACAAAGCCCTAGAAGCTGAACTAAGAAGAGAAGGTACAAGAACAGGTTATGACTGTCATAATGATTAGCTCACTCCTAGATGAGAATTCCAAATTTATTTTCACCACTGTGTTATGAGTGCATCTTTAAGCTTAATATGCATGGATCATATGGGATGAGATATGGTTGAGAAATTTCTGACAAACTGGGAACATCAAGATCCTCAATTTAGGTGACATCTCTTTCCAGTGCCTGTCAGGGCCACCAGTTCAAGTGCTTTAGGAGCCCCAGCTGCCCAGGAAGCCCTGGCATCTCCACAAGATAGATCTGTCTTGGGTTGGGTGGCCACACCAGTCTCTATTGCTTCCAGTCCCAGGGAAGAGGGACTCTGTAGCCCTACCTCTGGACGTAACATGGTTCACACTTACTCATCTGTGGGTCTATGCTGGGAGCAGGAAGGAAAGGAAAGTGACTTTCCTTGCCAGCTTTCTGGAAACACTAAATCTGACTCTGGAAAAAGGATGGAAACAAACTCAAAGGGTGTGCACAATCACTGCTAGCATACACATTCTCTCCCTGCTTTTGTTTCACCTTGTTCTTTGGCCCTGGCTGATCCTGCAGGGTTGGGAAAAAAGCTTCAGTAGACATCAAACCCTGCACCAGAGGTTCAGCAGTGCCCTGGATTGAGTCCCAGGCTAGCCATACACCTGTAAAAAATGGCTATCACATTTCAATCACTGCAGCACTAACAAACTCCAAATTTTTGAGAAAGTGCCAATAGAGCAAAGAGGATCTGTGAGGGCTGGGAGGAACCACAGGCTGGAGGAGGTGTCTGCAGTATCCATTAAAAAACGGGAAAAAATGCAGCTCCACAAGGCAACAGAGGGAAGTCACTGCCAGCAGCTTCAGCAGGGATCACCAGACTGCTTGCTCCAGTGGAATGCTGTTTGGAAAAAGTTTGTGTGCTGAGCCTTGTGCTGCCGTGTCCTGGTGATTGCCTTCTGCTTCTGGGTCCCAGCCTAAGGCTGGCATGTAGCATGCCCTGAAAATGGCATCTCTAATGAGATTCTCCAAAGGACTGACCACTTCCAAAAACCTTGGCAGGAAGTCTTGAGTTAAGAACAGGCCAAAGCTGTTGTTGTTCTATTATTTCTCTAGAGTCCCATACTGTTCTTATCAGACTTCTAAAGTCCATACCTCTTGGGTATATTCTTACAGCTGCCAATCTTCACTGACTCCTTCTTCTGCATGCTGTTCTCTCTCATGTCAGGGCTCCTCCAAGGCTCTCCCTGACTGGCCAACCTGCCCCCTTTTATCCCAGTCATCTTCATTGGTCACAGCTGCAGCCCATCAAGGGCAACCGGGACCTCTGGGGCAAAGCCTCTATACAGATATTCAAATACATTTCCTCTACTATACAAAGCCACTTCTGTATCAAAGGCAGAAGGCTTCACATGGCTGGCAGGAGAGAGGAACAGGCAGAGTCAGAGTAGGGTGGGCACGGGTCACTGGAAACATGGCATTCACTGGCACAACAGAGATGGCAAATGTCTCCTGAGTTCTCAATTTATGCAGAGCAATAAACATTACCAGAAGCATTACCAGCAATTATTATAGAGCAGTAAATATTAACAAAACCACTAATTTTCAGAGTTTCTGTCTTTTGGAAATTCTGTCCAGGTGGATAATCTAGCAGGATTGCCAGCATTTGTTTACCATTTCTTAGAGGCAGCCCCTGCTGAGCTACTGAAGAGTACCCAAAACTGTTTCAAAAACTCAGTGCTGGACTTTCCAGCAGCATTTGCTTGGCACTTGGGGTAAGGCTGATGCTCTGAGGAAGATGCAAGCACAGCTACATACATTGTACAGCCAGTTCTACCCTCAGCAAGTCTGACCTGCCCTGGCAGCATGAGCTCAAACTGTGTACACAGCTCTCTGGAAAATCCCAGCTATCAACAGAGCAGCAGAGACCATCTGACACACACAACTGCAGCTTTCCATATTTACACTGTTTCCTTCAGCACCAGGCTGTTCTTCCTCTGTGTAAATTTATTCTTTGGTGTGCAGGTAAGGTTGGGGCAAACAAAAATGCCCTGCCCAGCAGTCACCCAGATGACTCCAACAAAACATTTTACTTTGCAATTCATTTATCATTTGAATTCTCCAAACAAAAGGAAATGGAAAAATTTTTAACCAACAATGCTGTTACAGTTCTAGGGCCCTTGGTTGCATGCACCATTTGTACATCTTGCACATCAGCAAGAACACGCTCAGCTTCACAGAAACAAGTATCACTGATTTCCTTCAGTTTCTCAATCTAAGTGGCAGGGACTGTACACCATGGAAATTGTGAAAAACTGCTATCAAAGTATGAAGGCAGGAGCTGCTACTCAATGAGCACACACCAATTTCCTACACAAAACCTGGGCTCTCCAGAGCATAACATGAGGAAGTCTTGGGCAACAGTCAGGGCAGGGATGCACACAGGCAGTTGTTTCTTTATGTTATACCTCAATCTGTAGGAGCAGAGATGTGTTATCAGTGAGGGGGAATGCAGGAGTAAGAGAAAATTAAATGCAGAGCAGTTTCTAATCAAGCAAGGATTATCCATTCAGCATGCTGAGCGAGGCACCACTCATGGAAAGAAATAATGTGTTACAATGTATTAACACAAACAACCAGGAGTAATTAAGGATGAACAGGAAACTTGACCTGGCAATTCTTAATTTGGCTTCCTAACCTGACCTTCCCCATGTTCCTTCCCCACTTAGGCACAGGCTCAACAGCTTCTCCACAGCACGGTGGCAGAGAGCTGCCCCAGAAGCCGCAGGAGCAGCACCCCAAGGCCCGGAGCCCCGGGGCAAGGACCTCTGCACCCGGGGAACTTTGCGCAATGTCTGAGTGAGAAACTGCAGCGCTGAAGGAGCTCTGGACCTGCACACCCCAAGTGATATTCTTGAAGTCCATATAAAGATTTTTAGATCAGGCTGATTTATCACCTTAGTGGACACAAAATATCAAACTTACCAGCTGTAGACTCCCAAATATAGGAATAAATATTATTTTCTTTAATAAGGAAAGTTTACTGTAAAATTTAGTGTTCCTTATGATAAGTCAGCAAGAGAAATACTTAGCAGAAAATGTTATGGAATTATTTAAAAGATAATTCTTTCAATTTCTCTTACATGATTAGAAAACCAGCCTAGGAACTAGTTTTAATTTCCTCTTACTAGAATAGTCCACTATTCATTGTTGTTTTAGGGACAACTAATTTTTTTTCTACATAAATGATAATGAATATGAAATTTAAAATAAATACAATTGAATATTGAAATATAAAAATTGAAATATAATTTAATAGGAAAATTAAAATATTAACAATACTGCTCCATATACTTTTTTTTGTTGCAACATTGCATTATTCTCTGTATCTAAAATGTCATTCTCACTTGACAATCCCTAAAAACTGATTTTATAAAATTTTTAATAACTACATTGCATAGGAATCGTGTGTATATATATATATATATATATATATATATATATATATATATAATATATATATATATATATATATGGCATATAGTTTCCCAGATCCTACCTAGATGGAAAATTGTTAATTTAAATCATGACACCAGAGAATATTAAATAGTATTGTTATTCTTTGTAGTATATTTATAAAAATAATTTTATCAGTGCATTGACTTTCGCTCCGTTACAACTCATGAAAATATCGGCACTATAGAACTTTTCTCCAAGTTCAAATAAAGCACAAAACTTTTAAAGCAGCGAAGCTTTTACTTCAGGGCAAATTGATATTTAAAGAAGGATTTACACTATTTTATCACTTTTAAGTATGTAATTTTTATTACACGGAAAGGTTTGCAAGGAAGTGCTACTGTTCAATCCCCCACATTCCTAAGAATATAGACATTGGAATATTTTCAGAGTCCAATGAAAGATCTCATTCAATAATTGAGATTCTGTGAACTTCAGTGGTAAAACTTCAGTTGACTATAGGATTTCAGGATCATGCCCTGGCTGTTTCAGCTTTTTAACATTTACGTCACTAAAAGCATATGCCACTGTATTTTTTCAATAAGTAGTGTAAATCTGATAGCATATTATGTTTTACTTGCTTCTATTTTGTCATGTTTCCTTTCAAAACATTCAAGTAACAACACTCTCTATAAAAGCATTTGAGTGATAAACTAAAAAGTCCACAAAAATAAATGAAAATTTGGAAGTTTACAGCCACAGTGAAAGCATTTAATAAGATGGATTAACCCAATTTTATTTGTGAGCCCTTCAAACAATGAATAGTCTTGTAAGATATAACTGCCACTGGATGACATAACCACAAAAAAGGATAACATACTTTGGACTGTCTGGCAGGTTTGGAAGATTATCTTTTCTAATGTAAACCTCTAGACAAATCTCAGCAGCGGTAAATCTAATAAACTTTACTAAGACCTTTAACTCATTCTTGTGCTTTCACTTAACTTTAAAATACATTTTTTTTATGCTTACATGTGTTTATTTTAAAAAAATAAATTAATTTTACAGTCCCTGGCTAATTTCCAGGGTTTAATTTGTTATCAATTACCACAATGTGTCCTAACCAACATCGCCATCTCAAATTGTCAGAGCATAATGGGCAAGTGAATATAAGTAACATGGACATTGCAGCAAGCAGGTGAATAACCTGCCCAGAAACACTGCTGAAACATTAAACAGTTGCACATTTGACCATCTCTGTTAACTGCAACTCCTCAGAAATTTGCAGGTATGGCTAAGAATAATTTTACCACAATCCATGCCAAAGCAGTCAACTTCTCTGCAAAACCTGCCTCACTCACAGTTAATCAAGGTTAGCCATAGAATTGTCCACTTACCAACAAAACTGATTATACTACCAGAGACTTTACTAAAACATTATCTGTAAAGCTGTCTGCACACACAGTATACATGAAGACATTGACAGAGTAGGTTTTTGTATGCCTGTAGTAATGTATTTGTAACACTGCAGGAAAAGATACAGACATGGTTTAGTAACCCTTACCTTGCCCTCTGCATATCCGGATGGGTCGTCCACCTCCTCCTCCTGTGCCTTCTGCTTTCCACGAGAAGAACGAAGCAGAAAATCAATAAAAGGAGTTTTGTGAAATAAGGCATCTTGTTGGAAATGGGAGCCGAGCACGCTGCACTCCAGTGACCTGCTGTAGTACAAGTCCCCCTGAGCTTAAACATTGAATCAACTCAGATTCTGGCGTGTGGCCTCGGCGGGCGAGCAGCGGCAGAAACGCTGCGTTCCCGGCGTGATGCATCCCACAGGCTCCCGGCGGCTTCGCACTCGGCGCTTTTCCCTCATCACCGCCTAATGATTGGCCATGACTCGCCAGGTTCGCCTCGCTGCACATTGCCACCGGGTCCTAAAGGATACTTGCTAAAGCCATTATATAAAAACCCGCAATTCTGCACGCCGGCTCTTTGCTCAATCCCCTAATCTCAGCGCTATCCTCCTGCCAGACTGTAAAACCAGGCTGTCCCTTTTCATTAGGCTTTCTACATTTTATGATCCTCTGTACGGCATCTCTTTCAACTGGTAACTGTCTGTGCCACGTTTCAGATGTGTATCTCATTGTAAAATGTATGTATTTTAATGGATTTAGGGCAGTTGAGGCTCTGACTCCTCATGTTGTTGAAGAGAGAATATGAGCTACTTCCTCTGAAAAAGCTGATTTTATTTACTGTTAACTTAAAAGGAAAATTAAAACAGTAACTTCCAATCTATGCATGCAATCGCCTTTACATAAACCAAGTCACCATTATTTTTTTTTTCCAAAAGGCTTTTGCATAATCAGCCATTTTAACTTTTATCAAAGGAGATTGAAACTCAAATTAAAATCAGCTATTTCTTTAATCACAATGACAAAGCTGTTTCCAAAACCCATTCAAGGTTTATTTCCTCACAGCCCGGTCACAGGGCAATGCTGATTTGGCCTCTGTGTGCAGCACCCGGCTGTGCTAACAACAGCCAGTGTGTGGTACAGGGGCAGAAGGCTCAGAAGTCTGCCTGGCACAGCAGAGACTCTGCAGGACAAGAAAAGCACATTCAGAGCAGAAACTCCAGAGGAGCGAGTGACTGAAAACCCAGCAGAAAGGTCTGGAGGGTCAGACCTCTTCCAGAACCCCCTCTGTCAGCCCATGTTTGCAGGACTTGAACGGGGATTCAAGCACACCAACAAGGAAACACAGGGCTTCTGTCTTAGAGGCTACAGGATCTGAACAGGTTTTGTAGGCTTTTGGTGTGGGTTGTTGGTTTGTTTTTTTTTTGGGGGGGGGGCATTTGTGTATTGGTTTTTTTGCTTGTTTTTATTCAATTTCTAATAAGACAAATTACGTAAAAATATGTTAATTAATATATTGACATCAAATTGGTCTGCAGCAGAAGTCTTAACGCTGAACAAATACATACTTTTTTTTGTCTGAACTTCTTACAAAAGTTATTTTTTCACCTTTTTTCCGTTATACCTGTAAACAAAATTATCAATAATACAGAGAAATGCTAAAGGACTCAGATTTTGGGGGTTTTCTAAATTTACACATCTTCCTTAGACACAAAACGGGTTTTCCTTCTTTTAGAAGTTGTTATAGCTACTTTAGTGTTGCAATACAGTAATATATACTACAGTTGATAAAATTTAGGAAAGCTCTAGCTAGCTCAATAAATACTTGCTGAAAAACAGGATGAGAATCTCAATTAAGTCAGTGCTATTATGTTTGACAGCAACAAAATGAAAGCTAGCTAAACCTCCTTGTCTTTGAAATAAACACGCTGAACAGAAATATGAGCAATATGAGCAATAATACAAGAGGAAAATTATCCCACTTTCTTCTACTTCAGTACTTAAATAGTCAAAGACAAAACTTCTCAAAACCCTAACAACTGTAGGTCTACTGTTTGTACATGCCTTTTCACAGTATTCATGAATATTACCAGGGACTTATTATAATAAGTAGATCCCTGGATACAAAATATTGATTTTAGAGTAAAAAAAAAAAACCAAAACACATTGAACCCCCCCAAAAAAACAACAACAACAACAACAACAACAAAAAAAAAAAAAAAAAAAAAAAAAAAAACAACAACCGACCAACCAAAAGAAACCCCCTTACAAAAACCCAAACAACCAAAAAAAACCCTCAGACAAACAAGAAACAAACTGCCATGTGATACTTGAAACATATCCAAAGACTGGCTTGAAACTTTATTACTAGCAGGATTGTAATAAATACTTCTGTTAAGCATGTCCATATATGTCAGAATTTAAGTAATAAGGCTTAAATTTTCTTTAGTAAATAAAACCACATACGAAACATTCAGTTCAACACATTATGTATATTTCTGGTATAATTAAAAGACAACAGCTCTGGGTAAATAATTATATTACATATTTATAACTATTGCAAGAATAGACATGTTTTGCATAATCTTCAAATTTTAAAAACAAGATATACAGTTGAAAGTACTAGAAGAGGACATTCAAATCTTTCAAAAGACTACCCAATCTTTCTTCCAAAAAATAAAAATCAAAATAATGCAAGTTGTTTTCTGGCACCTACTTTCCTCCCACAATCCTGTCCCCCTTCCACACACACAAAGCAGCATCACAACCAAATTGTATGTGTTTCTCCTCTGGAAATGTGTCATGGCAAATAAAAGTGGTTACAAAACTGTATTCCCTCTAAATTAGGAGTTCACCAGACACAAACACATAGCAGTGTTTCATTTTATCATCCCCTCTTCAATGTCAGATCTTATACTAACTTAGATGGGGCACTTATATGAGCATTTATGCCCCATAAAAAATTGAATCAACCATTTTTTAAAAATCGTCTTTTACTAAATAAATTATTCAAATTTAGTCCCATCCCACATGCCTTAATGTTACTATTCCACTTCACTGTTTCTGCAAGTATCTAGTGGGCGCTCAATTAAAACTCATAGCTTACAGGACCAACTTTGCTTTTCCTACAATTATTGTATCTGTAGGTACATTAACATTCATAAGGATTTAAGCGTAAATACAAAAAGTAACCTTTGTAAACAGTTCTCATGTCATAGCCAATACAGAGCGTTCAGTGACGCACTCAAGTCACTGCTGTTAGGACAAACAACCTTATAACTCAAACACATACTCGTTAGCCAGACATATTCTACGGAATATGAGAGCTGCCAGGGCGAAGGTGAGCAGGACGATGAGCACGGTGGAGCCCGTGTGGTTGGCGTTGCCCCGGGGCTGCGGTGCCCGGGTGAAGTCGGCGGAAGCCGGGGCCCGTCTCTGGCTCTGCTGCTGCGCGCGGCGCTGCCGGGGACTCAGCGAGGTGCTGCTGCTGGGCACGGCTGGGCTGTGCTCCTGCCCAGCTGCTGCTGCACTGCTGCTCTGAGCTTCAGACTGAAACAGAAAGGTTGACAGCTGTCAGACAATGCATTTTATCTCTTGTCAGCAAGAGATAAAATCATAGGGACTAAAACATGCTCTTCAGGTAAGTGTTAATACATGTCACTAATAATTACAGGATTGTTATAGCTGCTTGTTTTTGTCCATACACTATCCGGAGTAGAAGTATATTTCAAGCTGAAAATCAGCAGTTCTACAGACAAGAGAAGGCTGAAGGAAGTCTGTCAAACCATATTTACGTTAGAGATTTCGAATATCTTTGTCTAGGATGTTTTAACTCTTTGCTGCTCAAGAAATCCTCTAGGTAGTTATATCTCTGAGGATTTGCAACGTCACCTATACTGAAGGGGAAACAAGAAGGAGAAGCCAAAAGAAGGATGGAGAGAAGTTCAAGAACTGCAGTTAAGCAGTGCTGCAGTGCTTCCTGTGGACATCAGGGTCCAGAAATCTGTTCTCATCACCACCACCACCGCTGAAAAAACAAAACGAAAATCCTAACCACAAACCACCTGATCCCAGCAGGAGTTCCGGAGCACAGCACATGTGCAGGCACTTACCTATTGCCCTCTACCGGGCAAACTCGATCTGACATTACAAGTACTAAAAAATGCACTTTAGAAAATGATGTTCTGCTCATGAGAATTTTATGCTGAAGAAAACAAGTTTCAATCTTATGAACTAGAAAATATGACATCTGATCTCCCACCAGACTAATCCTGCTTGCAATACTAAAAAGCTCAAACTTCCAATGTTTAATATTAAAAATAGTAATACAGCGCAGTCATTAGAAATAAGCATTTTGACAAGGTTTTGTTTTAAAAGTTTAAAAAAAAAAAGCTCTGAGAAAAAACGGCAGGTTTTAAAAATTTTTAAGTCTCATTTTCAGTCCTCAGAAAATAAGGGTTTCTAGTATTCCTACTTAAACCAATTTGCAGCTATTTTCCAGAGTTAGCTTTCTCCCCCTTTCCTTCTAAAAGATTATCCTAACAGCAGGTAAAACTAGAATTCTAGACATTTTAGATTTTTCTCCAAAGCCTTTTAATGGACCCAATATCCATAACCTTAAGCACTACTTCAGCCATCTACTATACCCATAAAAGATAACCTTTCCACATGACTTAATGGGGAATGCCCTCAACTGCATATCAGATTTGACAATCCTCAAGACAGTGAATAGCACTTGGTCTTGTGACTTTTCTGTGTGTGGATAAAGAATTTAAAATTTCCACCTAGTCAGTGATTTGTCTCACCAAAAGAAAAGGCCTTAAATTCCTACCTCCTCATCATTACTATTTCCCACTGTTTATCATTTGCAAGGAAGTACTGATGCAATTACTCACCACATTTGATAACTTGCTGTTTACACAGGGGTCTAGCCTAAACAAGCAAAGCAGCTTGGGTAGCTTCAAAGAAAAATGTTTTTAAAAGATAAATTTTATCAGCAGAGACAGCCAAGAACACCACAAGCAGCCTTTTGTGATTTCCAGTACACTGCAGAAGAAAGTAATTCTGCTTCTCACTTGAAAGCTCCTCATGCCAAGGAAAATAAAGACTTGGGGAAGCCAAGCCTTTGAGAAACGAAGTTCCTAGATTCATCTACATTCCCATCATCCAGAAGGTGAGAGGGAGAGAAGTGAATTCAGGACACAAGAACTACCAATTCAGTAAGCAATGTTCTTCTTCTTCAAACAGTCTTTAAATATATAAAAAAGTCTAGAAATATTCCTAATCCTCCATCTTACTAACAAAAGTAACTAGCACTGGCTGTCACACACATCTTCTCAATACTGCAAAACTTAAATTTAAAAATAAAACAGAAAGGCCCTGTTCTGAATAGAACAAGCTGTCATACACTGACATGAACAGATCCGCGATTCAAGAGAAATCTCACTGACAATTTCAAGGCTTTCAGTTATTTTTCTGAGGAAATTATAGATGGATTGGGCCAGCAGCAG